CTGTAATTTATAAATTACAAAAAAAAGTTTATTTTTCATTGCAAAGTGTACTCATTGACTTCTTAAACATATAACGTCAAAACTACCAATGCATTTATTTTCATTTTAGAGATTTTAGTTAATTGTATGAATCAAAATCTAGATAAAATTTCGCACTTATAAAATAAAATAGTATAAAATAAAATAAAATAGTTGAAATTAGGGTTTCCCAATTTCATCTAAAAAGAAAACGTTACTCCAAAATATGAGTTTTAAAGATTTGAATTCAATGCATTTTTTAAAGAACTTGTAAATGAAAATTGTTTGGAATTAAGAAAATACCTGAATCAATTTGAATCTCCATTTAACATTTATTTATATCTCCTATAAATTGCATATAAAAAGAATTGCGATTAAAAAATAATTTATTTATATGGAAAATCATTTCAAACAAGATTTGAAAATCTAAATTAAGCTGCAATCTTAGTTATAAGCATCAAAAAGGTAAATTTAAATTAATTCCTGATTTAAAAATAATTGAATAGCAAAAATGAAATTTCAGACATTGCTCGAGTCAAAAAATAATAAGTTTTTCAAAGGAGGTTACATATTTTTGACAAAAGATTGTTCTTTTGAAACCTTCTTTTCATCTCTTCTCAATTTGAATAAAAATGTTTGCTTCTCAAAATTATAATATTTTAATTATGAGGAAATAATTGATATCACGAAGCTTATTATTTTCTGAACTTTTAAATTTATTCAAACTAATTTAAAACAAATTTTTCTTTTCAAACTGTATTCTATCTTCTATAAAAATTATTTTTAAAGTAATAAAATGGATATGGCCATTAAAAATTTTATTTGATGTATAAATTGTTTCAAAATATTTCATAATCTATATTTACAAAATTTGCAAGTATCGGATCACTGATTTCTAAATTTGTTAACAGAGCATGAAATGTTTAAATCAAAAATATATCACAGCAATTTTCAAAACTCATTACTATATAACTAAAATGAAATTCTTAATTTGCATAAAACACAAATGTTTACTTTTAACTAAATAGGATTACGTAAACATTTTATAATATTCAATTGAGTTTAAAAGAAAAGCACATAAAAACTCGAATGTAATGAATCTTATTTCTTAATTATTGTTTCTCATTTCAGCATTCATGTGATAAATAATTTAAAGCATTTGGAATAAAAATTACTAAAATCATTTTAATTTTAAAAAATTGATTAATTTTAGTTATAATAAAAAAAGTATTCTAAAACAATACATGCAATCGACTTTTAAAAAATATTTTTATTTTTTTAAAAGATTATAATTCTTTCAAAGAAAGTATTGCTCTTTTTGCGTACATAGCTAAAAATATTTTATCTTTTTGTACAAGATTTTTACAGTAGTAAGAAATTATAGAAATTTCCTCCAGCATAGACTTTGAGAAAAGCAATGGTAATTGTTAATTCTGTTTTAAGTTTCCTTCCTCCAAACATACACAATTATAAACATTCAATGACTATTGTATATTACATATAAAAGCTTGAACCAATAAAATGATAAGCAACATTTTCAAATTGTTTAGAAGAGCACTTCGTTAGAACGTTATTAAAACACCACAATTTCTAAGTTGGCAGTAAAATTTTTCGATGTATTGTACTGCCATCTAGTAAAGAAAATGGAGTTGTAGAAACAGGCTTTATTATTAATAAATATATTTGTAGATAATTATTTGAAAAACTTGACACACTTCAAATAATGGTGATTTCGGGAAAAGGTATGAAACTTGTTAAATCTGTTGAATAATTCTCTTTTCCAGGGAATACAGATCAATTAATGAAATACTTCAGAAAGAAAGAAAAAATGGCAAAATTATTTGTTTCGATATATGTATGTGTGTCACACAATTCAGAAAACAGTGCATACATGTTGATTTTCCAAAAATGTAGAAAGTTGTTAATTATATCAAGTCTTCCAGTTGCTATATGAAATAATGGTGACTTTGGGAAAAGGTATAAAACTTGTTAAATCAGTTGAATAATTCTCTTTTCAGGGAACACACATCAATTAATGAAATANTGTGTGTGTGTGTGTGTGTGTGTGTGTGTGTGTGTGTGTGTGTGTGTGTGTGTGTGTGTGTGTGTGTGTGTGTGTGTGTGTGTGTGTGTGTGTGTGTGTGTGTGTGTGTGTGTGTGTGTGTGTGTGTGTGTGTGTGTGTGTGTGTGTGTGTGTGTGTGTGTGTGTGTGTGTGTGTGTGTGTGTGTGTGTGTGTGTGTGTGTGTGTGTGTGTGTGTGTGTGTGTGTGTGTGTGTGTGTGTGTGTGTGTGTGTGTGTGTGTGTGTGTGTGTGTGTGTGTGTGTGTGTGTGTGTGTGTGTGTGTGTGTGTGTGTGTGTGTGTGTGTGTGTGTGTGTGTGTGTGTGTGTGTGTGTGTGTGTGTGTGTGTGTGTGTGTGTGTGTGTGTGTGTGTGTGTGTGTGTGTGTGTGTGTGTGTGTGTGTGTGTGTGTGTGTGTGTGTGTGTGTGTGTGTGTGTGTGTGTGTGTGTGTGTGTGTGTGTGTGTGTGTGTGTGTGTGTGTGTGTGTGTGTGTGTGTGTGTGTGTGTGTGTGTGTGTGTGTGTGTGTGTGTGTGTGTGTGTGTGTGTGTGTGTGTGTGTGTGTGTGTGTGTGTGTGTGTGTGTGTGTGTGTGTGTGTGTGTGTGTGTGTGTGTGTGTGTGTGTGTGTGTGTGTGTGTGTGTGTGTGTGTGTGTGTGTGTGTGTGTGTGTGTGTGTGTGTGTGTGTGTGTGTGTGTGTGTGTGTGTGTGTGTGTGTGTGTGTGTGTGTGTGTGTGTGTGTGTGTGTGTGTGTGTGTGTGTGTGTGTGTGTGTGTGTGTGTGTGTGTGTGTGTGTGTGTGTGTGTGTGTGTGTGTGTGTGTGTGTGTGTGTGTGTGTGTGTGTGTGTGTGTGTGTGTGTGTGTGTGTGTGTGTGTGTGTGTGTGTGTGTGTGTGTGTGTGTGTGTGTGTGTGTGTGTGTGTGTGTGTGTGTGTGTGTGTGTGTGTGTGTGTGTGTGTGTGTGTGTGTGTGTGTGTGTGTGTGTGTGTGTGTGTGTGTGTGTGTGTGTGTGTGTGTGTGTGTGTGTGTGTGTGTGTGTGTGTGTGTGTGTGTGTGTGTGTGTGTGTGTGTGTGTGTGTGTGTGTGTGTGTGTGTGTGTGTGTGTGTGTGTGTGTGTGTGTGTGTGTGTGTGTGTGTGTGTGTGTGTGTGTGTGTGTGTGTGTGTGTGTGTGTGTGTGTGTGTGTGTGTGTGTCACACAATTCAGAAAACAGCGCATACACGTTGATTTTCCAAAAACATAGAAAGTTGTTAATTATATCAAGTCTTCCAGTTTGCAATCTGAAAATGACACAAAATTAGAAATCTTAAACTTGAATAAAACAGTCAAAGCGCAAAAACATGGAACTTTACTAGTATTTGAGAATCATCATTCAGTCTTGAATACATTTTTAAGTTGTTGATTTGAATAAAAGAAAGGAAATATCACAAAATTAACGCTTTCACCCGTTGAATTGTGAGAATAATTTCGCAGTCCAAGGATACACAGTTAGGAGTGAAGAAAGTAATTTAGAAGCTATGCTTTCAAGATTTAAACCATTTTTTTCATCATTCTTCTCCTGGCCAAGAGTCATGCCGGCGTAAGTAACGAATAAGAAAAACAACATAAGTACTACTGTATTATATTGCAAAAACGTCATGTTTTTAAACTTCAATTAGAATGACTTGTCCGTACTATATTTGACACTTTGATGAAACTTATGCATTTCATACGAAAAATATAATAAATAGCAGACGAGTATTTAAACGTCGTGAAGACGTTGAGATTTAAAAGTCTGTTTAAACATTTTAAAGATAAAGTAGGATTGATAATATCTTTTAATCAGAAACCTCAATATCAGAAGAACGTTTTCCATAAAATTAACTCGAAGAAACATTTTTATATCATGTTGAACGTTATGTTGAGATTTTAGGATTAAATACATAAGTCATGAAGTCGTTTCTTGGAAGAAAATTTATTTTTAAATTTTTCAAAATTGAAAATATCTATCAGCATGAGATCTGCAGCAAATTTAATCGATCTTACAAAAACTGTGCTTTAAACCGACGGGAAGAGTGGTAATGTCGGTAAATGCGCCAATAGCTGCTAAACATTAAAATTTAGCAGTTAAACATTAGGTGTTTTTTTTTTAAAAGTATTTACCGCTAAAATTGTTCCGATTCTTCGTATTTACTCACGGAAAACGTTCAAAAAAGTGGATTTTAATCAAAGTCGGTGTGTTTTGCAAAAAATGCCCTTAACACATATTCTTAAAATGCTTATCAAATATAAAGCTAGAAAGTCTTGAAATTAATATTTCAAGACTCTTTTAAACCTATTAGTAGAAAAAAAATAAGAATGCCTCCTAGAAGTTTTCATGTGTATGTTTGTGGTCATAGGGTAGTTAAATTTACAAACATGCCAAGTTAGTTTTTCTTTTCTTTATTTATTTAGTCTAGATTTGTAGCTTGTTTTCCCAATTTAATGCAATTAAGATAGTTTGATAATTTTTTTAAAATTTCAAACAAGAATGAACTAAACTAAAAGAGCACTTGAATGTGAAGTTTTATTCAAACGGGTAAAGGAACTTGAGTTTTGTCTCGATGTAGTTGTTGACGTATGCCATTAAGGCAGAAGGGGCGCCATCTATGGCCAAGAATTCGACTTCTGCCACACCCATACGTCACACCCGTTTATAGGGTGGCATCCATTCATGCATCCATCCACAAATCTTAATTTTTTTTTGTCTCGATAAATTTGTTATAAAATGCCAAGTTTTCTCATCCTAAGATTTATGACAATATTGCTTATATTTAAAAAGTTGAGAAAGAAACTACAATTAAGGAATAAGTCTATTGTAATGCTGAGAAATACCCAGAATACCCGATAGTATGGGTGTTTGATGAGTAAAAAATAATCACAAAAAAATATGAATGTAAGAATTGGCAGAACTTGAAAGGTTTGAAAAGGTTTATTACATATTATTACATAATACAAAAGACTCTGTTCACTCTGTTGTAATGAAAATCCACCATATTTTGATTTTGTGGATCTTCCTTCCTGAAGCTGCTTCACAAACTGCAGTGCTTACCTGTCATAAATTAATACAGTATAATGAAATCCCATTGTTAAAAAAATAGTGTGTATTAGTTATTATGGACTGTAGAAGAAATATTACATGCAAAAAAATCTAAGACAAAGATATGGGCAGAGTTGGAAAAAAACGAGATTTTACAACAAAAAAATTACCCTTTTAAACTATTAATATTATAACCGAAGAAACAAAGAAATTTTGCATTAAATTACAAATGTCATGAAAAAGCAAAGAATATATTAATTTTAAAGATAAGAACTATTATTTGTAACATACATTACTTTTACTGAATTATTCTTCTGCTGAGTTAAAAAGAAATTACAACATTAATATCATGTTTTTATTTAGGTAATATGAATTAAAAGAATTCATGTCTTTAATGAAACTACAGAAACAAAATTTGCACCAACAGTAAAATCAATTTTTTAAAACATCTTCATAAAAGCATAATTTCATTCAATGCTCCTTAGATTACTTCACAGACGTTCTTAAAAAGCTGTATGATAAAATTAACATTCTTTTAAAAATAAATATTGTTATGAATATATCTAAAAATAAAATTCGAAATGTCTTTTTAATAAATTGATGCCACACAAATAGTTATGACTACATTAAATGAACAAATATATTTACAATGAACAAATAATATCAGAATTATTCTATTTAAGAGTTGATTGTTCTGCGGAGAGAGACCATTAGACAATGCCAACCTTCATCTATCAAAAGGTACTTCAAGATAGAATCGAGCAGCTTGCCTTATGTACTAGTGAATTGATGTTTAATAAAAGCTTTTTTCTTTAGTTTTCTTTTAATATTGCAAATTGTATAGATTTAATATTGCTGATCCAAAAAATTTAAAATTCAAACTTCATTTTAGCAAGTAATAGTTTCCCTGATTATAAAATTCGAGATGCCTTTTTTATAAATTGATGCCACACAAATAGTTATGACTAGATTTAATGATCATATATATCCATAATGTTAAATATCAAAATAATATAATCTATATAAGAGTTGTTTTTCCTTTAGTTTTCTTTAAATATTACAAATTGTATGGATTTAATATTGCTGATCGAAAAAATTTAAAATTCAAACTGCATTTTTTAGAAGTAATAGTTTCCCTGAGTAGAAAAATTATTTATTTTCTTGAATACAAAATAAATGCCATGATTCATCTAGTGCACATTATAATTCCAACGCAATTTTCTATGAAACAGTCTTCAGTTCAACAAAGTGCAGAGTTTAGTAATATTGATTTTTGGATATCTTGGTAGTTTAAAAAATAACAAATATTAAAAATGAAGATCATTTTTATTTAACTTAACTAATTTTGTTAAGATTATCATAGGTCCCATTATGATGAGAAATAACATAAAAGCATAGATAAAGAAAACAATTTTTATGTAGAATAACTACTGAAATGAGAAATTAACTAAAAAACAACTAATTGAAAAAAAGCTGAAGTCAAGAGATTATAATTAATAAATAAGAGAAATTGCATACTAGAACAGATATATTATAAATAAATACCGAGCATATTATTTTCTCTCTACTGGTTTAATTAAAAATAACTCTTTCAAGTCTTTTGATGAAAATTAATAGGATTAGGAACATTGTTCACAATTGTTTGATCAGTAAAAAATTATAGCTTATATTTTTCTGCAGTTAAAGTATATGTTTGAAAAAATGTGGAATTAGAAAAAAAAGACAAAAATTAATCAAAATTATAAAGCAACAGTTAATTAACACACACAGGCACACTATACATAAACATTCTGTTCAGTTAAAACATATAAGTACATTTAAAATATTTTAAGGAAAAAATACTTGGGGGCAGTAAAGATATTTTTAGTCACAGTTAAAGCTGAAGATCTTTCGGATTAAGAGGAATATAACATCAATGGAAAAAGTAACAATAGGATCAAAAATTCCATTTTTTCTTTTTTTTTTTACCAAGGTTAGAAAAAATCAGGATATAAAAAAAAAATTGGAATTTTTTTTATTTTAAATCGGATTTTTATGATTTAAATCAGATTTTTATTTTTATTTTTTTTTCCATTTCTCACATATGCCAGTTGAAGCTCTGTTAAGCTTAATATTTTCATGAAACAAAACCCAAGACCCGATTTGTTAGATATCAAATGCAGAATAAATTAGCTCAAATCAGGAAATATAAAAAATAAGAAAATCAATTTTTCTATATTACTCTTGGTAGAACAATTTTTTCTTCATTATTCATATGCACAAACTACATATTTGATAAATTTTAGAAATATTTGCATTTAAACAAATATAAAACTAAATTGAGATAATTGAAATATTTGTTAAATAGCAAAACCAATTATTATATAGCTAACCTAGAAAATTATAATTTAAAAGTGCCCCATAACTTTAATCGACATTTAGAATTTATTTATTTTTCAAATAATAATTTACTTGTATTATTCTCTAACATTATTTCCCTGCATAAAACCTTCAAAATGAAATTCAGATATGAAAAAAAATCATAACCTTACTAATAGCTCCTTTTTTTAGACCCTCTGACACTATTCTGAGTGTTAAACTTGATATTAAATTTTATTTTACTACACAAAAATTATAACTTATAACTAACTACTTATAAATTAGATATTATGAAAGTATGTAGAAAAATGTACGAGTAACATGAATTTAAAAAATTACACTCGATAAATAATTACAAAATTATTAACTGTTAAACTTCCAGCAAAAAACACCATGCTAGTTGCTTTGCATGCCACAGAAATAAAACTACAGGTTTGAAATTTAATAAGCTGAAAGAGCCGTGTTTGTCTAACAAAACAACAAAAGTCTTTTAACAAGCTTAACAAAAGCCTTTTTTTTAATTTGTTTGATAGTTAATGCAATTTTAGGTGATTTTAGGCAATTTTTCTTTTCAAAAAATATAATATGTGCACTGCTCTGCAGTCATTAGAAATGCAATCACAGATTTGAATTTCAGCAAGTTAAGAGGGTCGTTTTCATTTTCTGAACTTAACGTGAGTTTCCTTTATATTTCAAAATTCCAATTTGCGTAAAAGTTATTAAACTTTAAATGCATAATGCAATTTTTTCAGCTTTTCTTAATTTAAATGATAACTATTTGTCCATCGCTGCATGAAAAAATGTATCTCCCTTGTAATCTTCATTTTGTAAGCTTGCATTTGACTTGATGTCAAAAGCAATAGAAAAAATAATAACAAATAAATGATAAAAAAAATGAGAGAGTGAAAGATAAGATGTTGTCAGATATAAATCTTATATTTTGTACTGAAATTTTTATAAATATAAAAAGCTCAAGAAAGATTTTTTTTTTTTAAATATTTCCAATTCAAACGGTCATATGATACTAGGGATCCAGATGGTGATTGGAATAGATCGTTAACAAGTATAACTTCTTCTCATTTGTTATTTCGTAGTGTGCTGCACATTCCGTAATTTGCTTTTCAAGGACAGTTGATCATTTTACAAATCCAGGTATCCTTTCATGCCATTGCAATTAACATATTAACCAAATACTAAATACTCTTTGAAAAAAATCAATTGCGTTTTCAAATTGCAATTTAAATCATGACTTAAATCAAGTTATTTGAATTAGACCAGCCCTGCTTTTCACAAAACATTTTATATTATAGAAACATTATATATATATA